GTTTAATCTAGATAAAAACCATATTCAACAAATTTTATTTGAGTCCGTTATCAGCATGGTTACTAATCAGCTTTCTTTAAATGATCAAAATACTATTGTCAAATTTATTGACTCAACTAAACCTTTGTTTGGCATGGTTATGATTTTTCTATTTTTTATTTTGATTTTTTTATGAAATTTGCAACTCTAAATAAAAATTAAACCTACAATTACTTTCATGTGTTTTTATAACATATTATCAAAATTATTAAAAAATAAGAACAAAAAATTGTTTAATACTATTATATAAAGTTTTTTTTTTAGTTAGTGTTAAAATTCTTCTTAAACAAATTGTTAGTTTTTTTATTTTTACTTTAGTTTTTTCAGTAATTGCAAAATTTGCCTACTCAAGTGCTAACTGGAGCTACATATTTGGCTATTTGAGTTAATTTATTTAAACCAAAAATTATAACTATATTATGGTTTTGGTCTTGAGTTCTTAATTTTGGTTTCTAAAAATTTTGCAACTATTGAAAATAAAAAATTTAAAGATCATAAAATCAAATTAAGAATTTTTATAAATTGAAGAAATTTAGAGTCTTGGATATTCCTTTTTAAATTTTATACCCACTAAATTGGTAATTTTAATTTTTAATTTTAGTTTTTAATTTTTAATTTTGAATTTTGATTGTTTGAATTTTGAAAACCAAAACTAGAAACCATAATTATACTTAACATACCTAAATGATGATGAATGTGTAAACTATATATAATACCACCTTTCTTTTGCTCCTTTTTTATTTAACTATGTTTTATGGGTAGGGATTCAAACTAGTTGATATAATTTGTTTGTTACCATTCTAAAAAATAATAATGCAACTATTTTATAATAGGTCACATAAATGTCACGTAATTAAAATAAAAAATTAATTTTTAATTATAGGTCTTACAAAATTGTTGCCACATCATTAAAACAAATAAGTTTCAAGGCAATTGAAACCTTTAAGGTTATTAGAAGATAAAATAGAAAGGCTAGGGATCATGGATTTTAGATATTTAACCAATTAGAATAATTAACCACATTAATGACTAATTTAACAAATAATAATTTTTGTCCAATTTGGACCTTATTTCATAACCTTATTTGAGTGTAATGAATTTTGGGATCTCAATTGTGAATTTAGTGGAAGTACGGGACCTTATTCAATGTTTAGCTAAATTTTAAAATATACAGTTTTGGCTAATTCTGAATACCAACCCAAATTAAATTGAAAATTTTCAATTAATTACCGTTGGTTCTAAATGATAAAAGTGATTATAAGTTCCCAAAAAACTGTGTTTGATGGCATAACAAGTATAATCAATTGAACTTTTCAATTATTAACAACTCCAAATGGATATTTAGTCAATAGCCACTTAGTGTTAACAATGTTAGATCTAACCGTTTTTGTCTAATTATGACTCTAAATGGATATTAAGTGAAATCTTAAGCTTTTTTTTTTTTTTTTCTTTTTTGTT